GGATCTGTTTGTAACTCTGAGTAACTCTGAGAAGCACAGAGCCGAAGACACAAGCCTGAAGATGATGAATGAGACTTCATCAAAACGTTGCCTAGATACTTCCAACCTTACGTGGGAGAAAACCCGAATAACCAAAGATCCACATACAAATACCTGCAAGAACCTCAGAAAACATACATACATACATACATACATACATACATACATACATATATATGAAATAATGATATTAAAAAATTGTACTTAATATAATAAAGTATATTGTGATGAACTAATATGACCCTAATAAAAGCCTTGAAATTTCTCAAAATCTGTTAAAACAAAACAAACCTGCATCACAAATTCTTCTGAGATTAGAACAGCTTTGAAAAAGAACAAATCTTTTGTCTAAAATCTCATATCCACTGGGGATAGTTAATTATTATCAACTAGATGTGGATTTTAATGAAGGAAACAATGAACTTAAAATAATACGAGCAATAATGTTGTTTTCATATCTTCAAAAATGGAAGGTTATTTATTTATTCAGGATCTTTCATTGTTTCCATATGGATTTTCAGCAGTTTATAATTGTACAGCATGGCTAGTAAAGAGCATATGATGGGAGAGGTATAGTCATCTCCCCTGCCTAAGTACATGGCAGGGATTCTGTTTATGGGTTATGTAGTAGTTTCCCACTTCTACCTGTTGGATCTGTTGGAAAAAAGTGAAATGCGTCGATCAGGCTTCTTTTTCCTTCACATTACCTTGTAAGGGAGATAGGGCTTTCAGTCTAAGTCACTATATGATGAAAAGGGAAAACTAACTGGGCATGCCATGTAGTAGTTTTGAGACATGTAATCAGAATACAGTAACCCTATCTTCTTCTCTTGAAAATACTGATCTCACAGAGAAATTGTATCAGTTACCAACTTAATTCTTACTATATTGACTTAATGGGAAAAATATTTTTTGCAAATAAATCTATATTTCTTTTTTAAAATTTTCCTGTTCTCTTTCAGTAATTGTTTCCTTAATCTTCTACCAGCTCCTTTGTGGTAGTTACCCTGTTTCTCCAACAACACGGCCTCCCCCAATAGGAAATCCCAGCATGTTTTATAAGCATGAAATGAAATTAAGCCCCTCCCCCCAAATTAAGGCCTATATTAAAACATGAAAAATGGGGGGGGGATGGTGGGGGGGGCTTGCCGTTAGGAAGTACTTTTGTTGCACAGCCGGATATGGTGCTGACTGCATTGACCCCGATAAGAAGTGCCCCACCAACGCCGAGGTCAACATCCAAGCCATCGCTGCCCGCCCTCCCAAAGATGCAAGGGGAGGGAAATTAAGTCACCCCCGAAAAGACGGCCTAGCCATTTTTTCGGGGCTCAAAAAAAAATAAGACCCGGCCTTGTTATATGAGAAACACAGTAGATGTTTTATTATTGGTTTAAACATTAATCAAATGTATTCTTTATTTTCTCTTTTGCCTTTTTATTGCTTTGCAATTTATTTGAATTTGTACTGTTTCATATATTGCTCATTTAAGAAGGGCTTCTGCTTAAAGCTTTTCTGCTCTGTACACTTCCTAGATTCTTAATCATGCCAGAAACTTGTGTTCTCTAAATTAAATCAACACTTTCCATTGAAGCTTTTTTATTGTGATTTAAAATTTCCATATTGTGAACAAATGTTATTTCCTTATTGTCAACTTTTCTATGTCATTTTGTAAATTGCAACAATATCTTTATTTTATTTCACTAAAACATTACAGTAAATGTTCATTTTAGCTGTGCTGGCTTATATCATGTCTATGTTAAAATTCTTGGACTGCTTCCAATTCTATAATTTCATATAGCAGCTGAAATCTAATCTTCTTAGAAAAGTACACTATATTTGTTGAGCCCGGTTAGAAACCAATAATTTAACTTCTGCTACATTTTAGCAGAAGGCCATGTTTAAAAGTAATGAGTATATAAAATGTTAATTTGTCAGTTAATTAAAGCATAGCATGATTTAAACAAATAGTTTATTAAATACGCCAGGTTTTTAACTTTTTATTTTGCTATATTTATGTTTCGTATATTCTAAGGGAAAATGATGTTTAACTATATGAAATCAAGTTAGTGTCAGCTCTTGCAATATGCTAAATAAATAAAAAAATAGTGTCAGCTCTTAGCAAACCACAGTCATAGATATTTTCCAGGATAACCTGTCCCAAATCTGGACAGTCAAATCTTTCAACAGTATACCCATGACCACCTATATCACTGCTGCTCATTACCTTTTTTTTTCTTATCGTTCCCAATTTTTTACATTTCTCAAGAGAGCAAGATAATAATTTGAGCCTGGTCATTTGTCCCTCAAATAGGACTCTGGATTTTTGTGATCATCTTGATTTATTTTATTCAATTCAGATTATCTAGATCTTCTCCAGTCAGTGTTCATGCTAGCCTACAACATTGATAAACTATTATTGCACTTGCAGATGACCTTGGAAGGCTTTTGATAGAAGTTCTCCATCTGTCTTGATGGATCTTTTGATACCATCCAATATGGCATCTTTGAGCTTTGATTTACATTTATTATAATTTTAGTTTTATTTTTATTATAGTCAATACTTATATTTTAAATATATTCAATATATCCTAAATTTCTCACTTCAACTAATATATCACTTTAAATAAAGATGATTTGTTTCTTGAATGATCACAATACAAGTGACTTACTACATGGAAAAATTGGTTAAAATTATTTGGTTGAAAAACATCCTAAATAGTCTTTCTAAGAATCCACTCACACTTACTAAATAAAAATAATCTTAAACATTATTGATATGCCCTTGGTCAACTATTATCCAAAAGGAATTTAGTTAGACAATCATGATGGACAGCTTAAAGAGAGCTCTCAAAAATATATTTGTTACTAACAAACAATTCAAAATTGTTGAATTATCCTATTTATAGCAAATACCAAAGGTGCTTTTTCAAGAGGCAACTGGACTTTCTTGTTTTTCTTTGAAACATTTTGGTTCTCATCCAAGAAGCTTCTTCAACTCTGCCTGGATGTTGGGGAATAGAAAGATTTATACAACTATGACCTAGATGACTGAGAATCTCCATAAACACTTATAGCAAATATAAACTACTGCATTCCAAGCCAAATGGTTCTGAAATGAAATACTAAACTATCACATATTGATGATACGCTATCAAAAGAATGCATTGCAACTATAAACAATTCATGTTACATAAAGTTCCAAAACACTCAGAAAACACATTGTTATTCATTGTCGGTATATGGTGTTTTTTTTACCTGCATATGGAATAGGCGCATCTTTATCCAAAGCAACTAATGGAGGATCCAGTATGACCGTATCATTGTTTTCAGTAATAACTCCATGATAAGATGTTTCAATCCATGGCTTGTGCTTGTTTACTAAAAAAAGATAAAATACATATTTTATTACCATAGTATAAAATTAAACTAATTTCATTATTTTAGTATTTATGTTTGCTTCTGAAATAAGAATTGATTATATATACAATAATTTTCCCTGGATAATTGGAGAACATTCAAAGTTTAGCTACATGAGTAATTGAAATTAAACTTGAAATAGATCATTATTATATCAGTTTCTTAAGGTTTTCCCAAAGCCAGGGTAGGAGAAAAAGTCTTCAAAATCAAATGTGACATTTTGCCGGCTATTATAATAACTAAACAATATAATACTAAAATAATAACCATCACCCCTACTATCATCCAGTATTGCAAAATATGTACACAAATTATACATCCCACAATTCCCTTGGGTTAATTATTTTATGCAGCACAGAAAGAAATAGTGAACAAAAGAAATTAAAGCAAGGAAACAAAATGAAATCTAACACCATATGCTATAGCTCTCCATATCTTGGTATACTTACAAATAATTTTTATTTTCACATATGTGTAACTAATTCATACATTTTTTGTTCTTGAACTTCTTTCCTTCCTCTTTTGGAGGATTTCATAACTCTGTCCAACTGCAATGGTCTGTGTCTTCCCCTCTTTTCAAACTTTTCACACTTGCATCAACTATTTGCATAAAATGTTCTGTGCAAGCAAAAGCATCTTTGCTTATCATATGCTTTCGCCAACTTCACTAAAAACATATACTAAATTTTCTTTCCTACATTCTTCGAATGACCTGCTAAAGAGTAAAAAGCTGGTCTACACATCTTTGTCTGGCATAAAGGTGCAGTGAATTTTGGTCATTGTCACATCTTGTATCATTTCAGTCAGAAACCAGCTAAACATATTCCCAGAAACACTGAACAAACTACAGTAATCTCCTTGGATATTTTATTCAGGCTTATTATTTTTTTCTTTGTATCAGCAGTAACAATATAAATAACAATAACCTGATATCTCTTTGACTACTAGTTGAGTTTTCCTAGAATCAAATCCTATTCTTAGGCGGAGGAAATTCTTTCCCATCTGCTTGCTCACCTTCTCTTGTCCCACTGCTATCATACAACTGTCTGCTACTATCTGAAACATAATTCATCAGGAAATAAGACCTTTAATTTTAGTAGTATTTAACACAAAAAACACAGATGGGTTTGTACCGTTAGTAGCAAAAAGCTGCTATATATATTTGGTATATTCTACTGATTTCTGACTCATAGCTTTTTTGTTTTGACATTCATCTTAATGAAAATTTTATTCCATGAGTCTTCCTGAAAAGATCATGCTGCTCTTTAAGTCACACCTGTTTTAATATTTAAATATTAGAGTGTAATTTAACCTTCTCAGAAAATATATGTATGTATGTATGTATGTATGTATGTATGTATGTATGTACGTACGTAGGTCTAGGTGTGTTCGGGTCTTTTCCCGTGTAAGATTAAGAGTATCTTGGCGATGTTTCGGCGAGGTCCCACTCGCCATCCTCAGGCTGGTGCTTTCGGCTTCGTGCCAGTGCAAGGATGGAAAAGAGATCAAAACACAAATGACCCAGGAGATTACAACGCAGGACTCAGGATACCACAACAAAAGAACTCACAAGCCCATCACACAACCCATTACCCAAGCCATTAAAACACAAGAGTCTAATGGAAAAAAGATCACTACAAAACAAACGACCCAGGAGATTACAGCACAAGATCCAGGATATCTCCACAACAAAACTCACAAGGCCATCACACAGCCCATTATACCAACATCAACTCCATCAACCAATCAAGAGGCAGCAGCGCAGCCAACCAGCCCAGCACACCAGCCCCCACCACCAATATATATAGAGAGACGGCAGCTCCGATCACACACTGCTTGCACTGGCACGAAGCCAAAAGCATCAGCCTGAGGATGGCGAGTGGGACCTCGCCGAAACATTGCCAAGATACTCTTAATCGTACATGGGAAAAGACCCAAACACACCTAGACCTACATACCTGTACCCGTGAAAATCTACGAATGTATGTATGTATGTATGTATGTATGTATGTATGTATGTATGTATGTTCGGGTATTTTCCTACGTCATTATAGTTGTGCTTTTAAAGTACAATAAATGATAGCCGTCCGTTTACTCGGAGTCAAGCTGCACTAAAAGCCTCCAATACAGGAAACACAATGTTGCCAGCCAATCAAGACAAAAAAAACTACAAAACAGACAGAAGATATTAGAAACACCAATCAAGCAGAACGCAGCAAACTCCAAGACCAATAAACACAGACTAAGACTCCCAACCAATCAGGATGAAGAAAAAACCATTCTGGCACAGCAGTAGGCTAGCACCAAATTTAAAACAGAAAAGGCTGTGAAAGTCTGACTCACAGACAAACACTATACAGAAGCCTGATGATGGCAGATGATATTCTGCTGAAACGTTGCTACAACTTTAAAAGCACAACTATAATGACGTGGGAAAATACCCGAACAAAGCTGAATACCATACATGTAAGTACCCGCAAAAACTTAAGAAAAGATAGATAGATAGATAGATAGATAGATAGATAGATAGATAGATAGATA